TTCTCGCCCACAGCCCAGCAAAACCTGCTAAAAGGTTTTTGAAGTGGCTTTGTTTGGCGTTAATCTTCCCCATAACTTGGCCATTAGAATCTGTATTTCTTTGTCTATCATACAAGTCGTCACCATTTGAAACACTATTTGCATATTCCAACTACTTGGAAAAGTCCTTTTTAAGGGAAAAGTCCCTTTTTAAAGGTACAGTTCACCCCAAAACCAGAAATACAGATTTTTCATTTACCTGTAGTGCTGTTTATCGATCCACAGCTGTGAGCAGTTTTCTGTTGGAACTATTTTCTTTCAATCATCTACATGAAACTGCTCAGAACGAGGTCTGTGGATTATCTAGAGTAACCGGGTCAGGACTTCTGGAAAGAGACGTTGCTGTTGAGTTTTTCCAAATGTACTTTTTGGCGAGTCAGTTTCATATAATGTAATTATATTGGAGAGGAAAAAATGATCTCCATAACAAACACCAAAACAATCTGGATTGATAAATAACACGACGAGTAAGAGGGAAAATACGTAATTTAGATTTTAGGGTGAACTGTCCCTTTAAGAATTTCGGGCCATAATCTCCCAAATCGGAGTAAACTATCAGTTTACAAAGTGTAACATTTTGACTTGTGGCAGCTGTTAATAATCCCCCTCTGTAGGTGAAGGAGTTCATTAGCTCCGAGCTGCTGGCCCAGCTCTACGCTCTGGGAGAATGCTCGGCGCTGATGGATGAGTCACCGGAGCGGCAGCGGCACCGAGAGGAGGTGCTCCGCCAGCACGCCTCCCTGAAGGAGGCGCTCGCTGTGGTCGGCAAGTTCTCCACCTCCACCTGCACCACCCCCCTGCCTCCACCCGTGGACTCCTCCTGGATACAGGCCTCCAGGTAGTTGAACTACACGCGATAAACCTGTGCTTCCTGTCGCCTGTCACTGAACGCTCTCTTATTCCACCCCAGCCCGACCGTCCGTAAAAAGTCTGTGACCAAGCCAGTGGTGTCTCGCGGCCACGCCCCGTCTGTCCGCCGGGTGCCCGCTCCTCACACCGTTTCCAAGAGCGGCGACGGCCTTGGGCAGCTCGTTGGCCAGCCCAGCCGGGCTCCACCTAGTGTGCCAAGGTGACTCAGAAACCACACGACCGCAGGCCCTGAAACCAGACCGGTTACATTAAGATGACTTCCCATCTGTCACTCAAACATGCACTGACATATATGCATACACACACAGACACACACACACACACACACGATCAAACCGTCTGCTTCGGGGGCAGAGGGAGTTGTTATTTGAGCTGGGTGGGGGTCTGCTGGAAAAATGTGTTTCTCATATTCTCTTTCCCATCAGTAGACATGACTTCTCTCTGTGCAGCTTTCTACCAGAGCCAGAGACAACAGGCTGAGCGCTCTATCAAGTTTTCATCTTTCTCTCCGTCCTTCATCTCCCCCTCTTATTCCCTCCTTCTAGCATGCATTTTGTTTTATTGCCCTCCCCAGTTTCCCTCATGCAGTAACTGTTATTTTCCCTCTCTCTCTCCCCCCCAATTCTTTTTCTTGTACATTTCTTCACTTCTCCTCTTTCACTGGTTCCTCCCCTGCTTTTGGCCGGTCTCTCCTTCTTCTCTCCGCCTCATTTCCTCTGTGCTCTCCGATGGTTCTTTAGGTTCTTTCCCGCATGGTCTCCCTCTTTCCCTTCCTGACTCATTCCATCCAACGTCATGCCTCTTTTTCTCACTCAATCGCTCTCCCCCCTATAGATATACAGTACGTGGGGCATGAGCTTGCTTCTATAAGTTTATTTATTTTTTCTCCGCCATATTTATTTAAATTAAGTATGCTGACACTACAGGTCATCTATTGTGCAACAATCCAAATGTGTGACATAATGGCAAAATCTAAAAGATATGTACATGGAAACTTGTAATGCAGTGCTCCAACATTTGGAAAAGCTGCCTGCTAAATTGTACATCTCTCCATCTTTCTAACCGACTGCTATGTTATAGTAATCTCTAATAACCATTATTTCTTCGCTTTTCTTCCCCTTTTTTTTCCTCGTGCCAAACCCTCATGATTCTCCATGTTTTACATGGCATGTAACTGTTTTTGCAAGTTTTCACATCATTTTCATGACAAGCCTCTAATCCCGGGGTCATGATAGGTTACACCCATAGAAATATATTTTATTTCTGTGTTCACACCATCGGCCTCAAAGCTGTTCACTGAAGGGCCAACACAAGTTTGCAGCTGCAGTGGAGACGTACAGTTAGCCTGTTTTTTTGTTAATTTATTGATGAAATGGGCATATGAAGCTGATGTGCTGCTATTTTTATGCTATCCGGTGTTAGAACTCACAGTTGAGCGAACTGCTGCACAACTAGATTAATAGATTATGATGATGAGGGATCAGACATTATTTCTATAATCAGTTTGTCAGGTCTGCCGTTAAGAAATCTACAGTAGAAGAATGAAAGATGGAAGAAAAAACAAATGCAATGGTGGATATTGAATGGATCTCTGTCGATAATACAAGAACAAAGCACACTACTGCATTTAATTCCATCTCTCCTTGTGAACGATATTATAAGGCATTCAAGTGATTGTTCTGTTAATATTGTTCTATTATACTGAACCATTGAACCTTTGATGTGACCTTCTCTCTCCAGGAGGCATCCGCCATCTATCCCAAACGGGAAATAACGGTCCTCTCTGCTCTGAACTCCATTACCCATCAACCCCAGCGATCCTTCCAGCTGCCGCTCACTGCTGCCCAGAGACACCCATGACCTGTGTGATGTGTAATCCAGCTGAAGCACTATGCTGGGCTTCTCTGCGCCTTCCTTTGGGAGCTGCCGTCTGCCAAATCCACTGAGCCTTGAGTCTGTTTTGTACATAATATCATCGGCCATAAAAGCCGGAATGTGCTCGACTGTGTGCCGACTTTCCTCAAGTGCCTGAACTTTGTGTAAATAGAAATATCAATTTTGAGTTATTCTGCTAAAAGAGAATACACATGCACTATTTTCTCTGTTTTATGAATAAACAGGTTATATTTTAGAACGTGTTCAAGTTTTCTGTGTATATCTGCAGTTTGCTAACGAAGATCCAAGAACATTTAAGGGCCCTTGTGGGTGTTGTCCCAGCAAAAATCATGATAGCTCAATTTCAGTTATGTCACAATTAAACTCTATTTATCTTGAGTAGAATTCAGCAGATGATGTTTAACAGGAATTATCAGATGTTATCTCTGCCCAACTGTAGCCTCAGTTACATTTTGGGTTATTTTAATTACGTATAGACAGCTAGATAGATTTGGAAGTTGGATTAATACATCAAATTATTATTACATTATCACTTTTTTTATTTAAAGGTGTAACATTTAAGTTAAGCTATTGCATGTGCATACATTTGGCCTCAGAGTAACTTTAGTTCCTACCTGGCATTGTTTGCTGGGGGACAGGTGTGAGTGTAACAGACGCGGAGTAAGTTGTGAACCCAAAAGCTGCAGAGAAGGACTGCAGAAGACCACTAAGCATGAACCTAGAATTACAATACAAGTTTTTGTTTAGCGTCTAAAAATATACAATAAATATATATATATTCAAGGTTGTTCAGGTTCTTTTGGCTTATAGGGCTCCCTGACAGAAATATTTGGGGATCCCTGGTGTATGTGGACCACTGTTGGTTATGCCATAAATAAAACATTATCTAAACAAACAGAAAAAATAATCTAATTAAAAATATAATTTGCAATCATTTGTTGGTTAAGTATCTAAAATATATAATATATGATTAAAAATATTGTAAATATGATTAAAATGTAATTTGGAACCGTGCAATCGGTGACGCACCATCACCACCACGCACTTCCCCCTCGCACGTGGAGGCCGCACACAGTCAGGCGGCTCGACTGAACCGGATGTTGAAGTCGCGCTTCATCCCCTGCTTAATGGCGCCACCGCAGCGTTTAAAAACCACCGCGAGGCACGCGGTCACGTTTCGCACCACGCCGGGGAGAAGAGAGGTGAAGGTACGACACCTAGCGTCCACACACACACACACACACACACACACACAACGTTTATACTGCACGTGCGTGTCTCCATTCATACTTTCTGGAATCCACTTTTTTTTTTCACAACATGGGTTTCTAAGACAAAAAGCTGGTCTTAAAAACAGTAGTTATAGCTCTGGTGTGTGTTTTTAATGTTTAACTGACAGCTAGAATGAAAACATATTAATGTTTATATTGAAACATAACAATTCCAGTATTCACATTGTAATGTTGAATAAAAGGAACACGATGAGTTATCGACTCTACCTTTTGTTAAATAAATTGTTACTATGACAGAGGGAGAAGTGCTGCTCTGCTGTTTTATAAAAGCTTTCAAAGCAACGTGACGGTCACACAGGTGTTTCTCATCAACCGGCAACGCCTCTGTGACGTCACTGACCCTAGTGCGGCGCTGCGGCGGGAATGCAACATGGCCGTCGGTCCCAACAGTTCACAATAACTTAAAACAAATAAAAATAAAAGCAAACAAGAGGGAAATTACAAGACAAAAATAAATAATGTAACAACACAAATGGCCAATCACGGTTAAAGTGCATAGATATGCATAAAGATAGAGCGATTTTTACATTGTATACTGTTATTTCATTTACATATTCAGCAAATATAGGAATAGTTAAAAATATATATTTGGCCATAATAATAATTATTCCCAAACTCTTACTTGTCCTCCAGTTGAAGACCAAACTTTATAATTGCATATATTCTGAATATTTTGATCATTATAAATTATACGATATTGAAAAGCATCTCCAAAGCTCCTCGTTAATCTACAAGAAGAAACAAGTACAAATACTCAAATTAAAGTTAGACCTTTGATGTATGAAGTTGTTCATCATTTTAATACCTTTAGCCTTATAGGAGGAATTAGAAAATAGAGGTAACTGGTTTTTAAGTGCATTAGTGGTGTACTGCAGCAGTTTTCTGCTGTGTGTGATGATCAACAGAAGCAGGTTTTCATGAGTTATACTACATTATTAGAAAGCTGTCGGGTTCATTATAAATAAAATAAAATCTCTCGTTATTGTCATTAATTGCTGAGCAGCGAACTCGCTGAAAATCAGAGATGAATGCATCATGTACCACTGAAAATACATGAATTAATTATTGTTGCATTACACTCCCACTGTTGTAAAAATGACTGGTAATCCTTAACTTTTATATTAAATAACATCTCACTGTAGAAACTTTTCTTTATTACAAAACCCTTTAAATTGTTCATTTAAACTTCCGTTTCATATTAACAGTTTGCAATTCACCGGGTTAAACACAATGCATCCGTCCATTCATACACGACACCAACAACACACTGTACACAACCATAAAAAACATGGAACACCTCCCACAGATTATTAAAACATCACAAGTCAGCATCTCTTGTTAAATTCAGAATACTTATGAAGCTAATAGCAGCTTGAACATTAGAGTATAACAAGTTGTCATGGCTGTCCAAACAGATGTGGACCGCCGATGAAGGAGTTCAGTTCAGACGACCGTCATGTGGTCCTCTCGGCTCGGTCCGCTAGTGGCCGAAGTGGCCGAGGTCCTCGTGGATCTCCGCCTCGTCCCAGGGCCCCTGGATGTTGTCCTTGTGCCTCTGCAGTCTGACCAGCAGCAGCGGGCAGAGCAGCGTGACGCTCCCCAGGGCCAGGGCCAAGAGCACGGCTCCGCCTGGCCACTGGGACCCCAGACCTGCCACTCCTGCGACGCACACTCCCACACACACCCCGGCGAACTGGCCGGGGGCGCTCCCCCTCAGCCTCTGCAGCAGGCAGGGCCACAGGGCGAACACCAGCAGGGCGCAGGTGAGCATGGCGAAGGTGTGCAGGGCCCCGGGTAACCTCGAGGCCAAACACACCGAGGCGAACAGGGCGGCGTTCAGGGAGAAGCTGCCGGGAGGTGATGGCTGGGCGTATGGGAACGACACCAGGTGGGACAGCAGCATCACGGCCGACATGGCGTACACCGTGTCGGTGCTCACGGACTCCGTCAGCGTCTTCAGAACTGGCGAGAAGCCAAAGGTGAAGGAGAGAAAAATGGTGGCGCTCTGCAGGTCAGCCAGTCGGGTCCGGGGCTCGCAGCCGGATTCGACTGGAGCTGGCAAGGCTCGGTGCAGTCCATAACCCAGCAGGGCGCAGACGAGGCTGGTCCACAACAGCGTCTCAGGGGACAGCAGACTCTGTGAGGACAGCAGAGATATGGAGGAGTTATGCATTTGATATATATTTTTAAAAGGGCACAATGTGCTCTACGAGGAGCCGTAGATCTTTCTGGAGCCTTTACCTGCTCCATGTAGAGCCACAGGGTGATAAAAATGGCCACGCAGGACAGCTGCTCTCCGACAAAGCCCGCCTCTCGCACCACAGCCCAGTAGCTGTACTGCCGGATGCCCTCGTTCCTCCGCAATTCCTCCAGGAACCGCTGGTCCACGTAGTTGTCGGGGAACGCCTGGCACTCCCACAGCACCTTCCGCCAGGGCACAGCTGGACCTGGGGCCCCGTCTGGTCCCATCACCCTGAAGACAGTTTGCAATCCACCGGATTAAACACAATGCATCCGTCCATTCATACACGACACCGACAACACACGCACAACAGCAAATATAGATGCATGTAGATTAAAGAATAGCAAAGGCTACTTGGAGACAAAAAACCTGACAATTTAAAGGGTATACTTATAAGGATTACTCTAATATGTAACCACATTTTAAATAATTATACATATTTTAACATCACTAGGAAACATATGCGTGTGTGCTGGAGGAAATAGGAGCCTGGGAACATCTGGATGAGCCCGTATTGTGCTTATCCACTGCTTTGAGAAACAATTTCGAAGTCAACATTTACCATTATTTCACCAAACACGTAAACTAGCTTCACAGACGAAGCTAGACTCTGTGTGAACGAGCCGGTTTGTGCCAATGTATTTGAGCTTTTACGTTAGCTTCGAAGCTAACGAGCTTATCTGTCGTGTAGTGAATGTCTTGCGTGATTTTAACAGATCTTTGAATCATACTTTGTGTTGAGTTTGCGGTCCAGGTTAACGCATCTATTCTGAACAGGGTCTCAACGGTTGGCCGGTGCTGCTAGCATGAAGCTGTCGCTACTTCCGGCTTTGACTTGACTATAAAACCAGACGTGCCTTATGTAACAGTGTGATTATGGACAACCATTGGCGATCTGTTAAACAATCTCCACGAATATTTAAAAAATAATATTTCTGACCTACCTGTGATGGTATTTTATTCGGCGCCGATGCTACAATCTCCTTCTGTCATTATACCGGAAGTGAATCAATGTATCATAGAGCTCACAGCGCCCCCTGCTGGTGGATTGTTTTAAAGACGAAAGGCACGTTGTTGATGTTTTGTTTTTGTTTTTTCTTTGACGAGGTGTCTGTGTGGACCATAAGTAGCCCCTATCCTGCAGAAAACATGAGACTGGCCAACCCACAGATGAATGCCTGCAAAAAGGTAACTCATGTATATTTATTCTTATAATGCACTTTTAAATACATTTCAATCAATCAAAAAATGTATTTGTCACCTAGTGGGCACACATGAAATGCAGGGACTTAAATACAACACCAAGACATAAAAACAATCACTCTCTAAAAATCTCCACTAAGTTAAAAAAGATTAAAAAACAAACAAGTTTGCACTCTTACCATTTAGGAGAGTGATAAAGGAGTTTGAATTTATTGTTTTTTAGCTAGTGGAAGTCTGAGATGTTCCACATGGCAGGAACAGAAACTGTAGATGTAAAAAAATTGGGAACAATAAGTAAGATGGATTCTGCTTCGTTCTATAACTGATTGTTGTTAAGATCCTACAGATTTTGATGTGCAGTGCCGGTTATTTCGCTGCAGACGTTAACCCCCGTGTCCAGTACATTTCTGTGTTTGACCGTGAGAGAGATTGATACCAGCAGATAAAGAGAGAGCGAGCACAGACTCAGCGCGTTGTTTTTTTTTTTCTATAATCGTCATTTCCAAATAACTGCACACGGTTATCTACAGAAACATAACCACAAAATGTCTTTCGTCGCTTAACACTTAACTCAAACATCTTTTGGTGGGCTGTGTCTTCGCTTACGGCCATACCACCCTGAACACGCCCGATCTCGTCTGATCTCGGAAGCTAAGCAGGGTCGGGCCTGGTCAGTACTTGGATGGGAGACCGCCTGGGAATACCAGGTGCTGTAAGCTTTTATTTTTTCCCCGCTCCTCTTTACAAAACAGCAGAGGGCGCTGGAGCTTCAGAATGTCCTGGTTCTGTCTGAGTGACACCTTGAGGTGGTCTGTTATTAGCCTGTAGTCAAATGATTTTGTAACTATGCACCATTTCTTCTAAAGGCTAATCTGAAATTAGACAAATTGTCTCATGAATGTGATTAGAAGGGCTTTAATTTTGAAATGCTACATCAGAATGTCCTGGTTCTGTCTGAGTGACAGCCTGAGGTGGTCTGCTATTAAGAATGAGGTTCGGACCGCCTACCTCATTGACATACGGACAGCGCCATACAGAAATAAATTTAAGGTGAACAGAAATGTAGAAATAGATGTATTTATTTATGTCCTGTTTAGGTATCAACTTTTATTTATTCATTTCAGCATTTAAATATTTCTGTATTTATTTCAGCATGTATTTATTCTTTTATTCATTCATTTCCGTATTTCTACATTTATTTATGCATTTATCTATTTATTCTTATATTTATTTATACATTTATTAATGCATTTATTTATTTATACTTTAGAAATTTTTCGTTCTCCATAGCCGACAGGCAGACACAATGGAAGTGGTCCTGGTCAATGGATTACATCACGTGACTTGGTACTTTTTGATATTGTTTATTTCAAAAATGACGATAAACTCTCAAAAAAAACGATGAAGTTCTCCACCGGAGAAGTTCCAGAGCCTCTGCTGTTTTGTAAAGAGGAGCGGGGAAAAAATAAAAGCTTACAGCACCTGGTATTCCCAGGCGGTCTCCCATCCAAGTACTGACCAGGCCCGACCCTGCTTAGCTTCCGAGATCAGACGAGATCGGGCGTGTTCAGGGTGGTATGGCCGTAAGCGAAAACACAGCCCACCAAAGGGCTTCTTATAGAGGTTTGAGTCAAGTGTCACGAAATGTAATATTGTGATTATGTTTCTGCTTTTGTGTGTAGTTTTAGTTCTAGAGCAGAGGATCGGGTCGTGTCTCAACACGATCCTGGTGTTTCCAGAAGGACGGGATCATCAACGCAGCGTCCGACGACCAGAACAGCTGCAACAACCACTCCTTCTCCTGTCAGTTCTCCCGGGCTGCTCAGCGAGTGTCTAATCATCACATCTCTGCAGCACCAGATCCAGAAGACGCCGCCGGGTTGAAGAAGCCCGAGCTTTCCTGAAGGTATCTGCATAAAGTTTGATACGCTGCCTCCAAGTACGGTACAACGATTCAAGATCAGCAGGAACACACAGAAGTCAGAAAGAATGTAGGATTGTTTAATTTATACACATTTGCAACTACAGGACATTAGTTGAATAAATACATTACTCTTCCCCCACTGCTCCACGAGAGAAGTAAAAAAATACTTCACTGTTGATCCAGAAACTTTAACTCAGTAACTTAGAAATACTTTAAAAATATTTGTAGGCTTTTATTTTTGTAGGACAGATGACAAATAAATCAGAAACTGCAACTTCATATTACTAATCCATCACTTATAGAATCTCAACATACAGTACTTAAATTAAACACTGACGCCACCACAACATGATGGTCGTAAGCACTGAGGATGAAGATGAGGATGATGATGATATCTTAGACATCCTGTATGTTATTCCAGGGACCCACAATACTGACACACTATCATTTCAAAACAATCAGACTGCTCAAAGTTTGGTTTTACAGCACTTCCATTGTAAGGCTGTTTAAATGGAGACACTAAAGGTGAGAAAAGGTACAAAAATAATATATAATCAATACCACTAATAAACAATACTTACGGCAATTCAATTCTTTTTTTGTATTGCAAGTTTTCTGAAATGTTATGTTTAAATATGCGAATGAGGCATCTTTTAATATGTGCTAATTTGCATTGAATAAAGCAAGGTTTCATTTTGTTGTCAGATTAGAGTCAAATGTTTTTATAGAGGGAATTATATCACCGATCATATAGCCATAAAAAAATATATATATATATATATATTTTCTATTTTGTCCATGTTTTCAGGAATAAAATGTTGAATAAATCTGGCTGAATTATATACAAACAAACCCCAATCGACAAAGCAGTCAAATAAATGTGTATTTTTGGATGTTTTCTTTCCACTAGTCTGAAAGAAGACATGATGTGGAAGCAAAATAGCCCAAAATCTCACAACTGACCGGTGCATGAAAAACACTAGAAAACCAAATGATATAAAACCTCTTGAGCAGCTCCTTCACTCACTCACACACACACCACAACAAACTGTGGCCCTGATTAACCCACAAAACAAACTTTGGGGCCCATTATGCTCTAAGAATATAAAGACAAAAACAACGTTGTTCTGTGGCATCCGAGGCAGTGCCTGAATATCAAACGAAATACAAGCATTTTAAAAAGAATGCTGTCGGAGTCGCGGCAGCGAACGGACTCGCACTCATTGAACCGAGCGGTGTGGTAGTGGTCATGACCTTCCAGGTGTCGGGGAGATAGAAATAGACCCGGTCACAGGAGAGACAGGCAGGCGGCAACGTCTTCACACAGTAGGTGGCCGTAAGCAGACACCCGTCAGCAGCAGTGAGGCTTCACAGAGGAGGGCGGCTGCCATCCGGGCAACGAGCCACCGCGGAGGAGAGAAGTGCCGCCGTCGGTAAGAGACGCCGGTTCCTTTTTCTCCTCCTCCAGTGTTGGCATGAGCCGGGAAAGTGAGACTGGATTTCTTGAAACATAAACGTCCGTGGCAAAGTATTCTAAAGACCTCACAGACTGGCAGCTAAATACAAGCCACTCAGTCATCATATAAACACACAAAAGGTACATTTATGAGTACAACTTCTTTAAAAAGGGGAATACTTGCTGATATACTGATTGCACTTCCAAATCTTATTTGGCAGAAATATAAAATCAAATTCTTCAGACACCATATCTTCATCTAGTTTATCTCAAATAAAAACATGTCCAAAGAAAAAAGGACATTCATTTGTTTTTTTGCTGTTGTCCACTGGCCCAGTAACTTAAGGCTCCGTTAGAAAAACATCACAAACGTGCTCGTCGCTTTCTGTGACGTTAGGGAGGACTATAAAACAATATATACGTCTTAAAGAGAGACAAAGGGACTTTTCTTTCTGCAGCAAAGAGATGGTTTGTAAAGTAGACGGGGTGATAGTTCTAAGTTGTTCCCTGAAACTTCAGTGGGCTGAGAAGCAGAGCAACAACAGAAGTGCCTTTTGTTATTAAGGATGTCAAAATGTCTGTTTGTGTGCATGTGTATAGAAGACATCTTATGTTAAAGAGATCTGAGGGGTGTGTGTGTGTGTGTGTGTGTGTGTGTGTGTGTGTTAGTTTCTCTCTCCATCCTTCCTTTGGGAGGGTGGTGTTATGTACGAATTTTCCGTTTATCTTCAAACAGCGAGCGGACCAGGTAGACCTGAATCCCCGAGATCACCATCATAACGATGACGTTAACCACCGACCAAAGGTTCACCCGGTCGAAGTTGCTCTCCTGGATGTTCCTGTCGCGAGCCTCGAACGCCCGCAGCACCGTCTGGATGTGCACACTCTTGCCCAGCCGAGCCTTCACGTTGTTGATGGTGTCCTGAGGAGGAGAGAGGAGACACACGGGTGAGTTTGACACAACCAGACTTAATCTCCACAGCGGCTGCACCCATTCCCAGTCTGGGACAGGGGGGACGGGGAGGGGCTCTGGCTAGTTTGTGATTCTTAAATTAATCACAATCGTATTGGGGGTTGGAAGGGGAGGAGGATGCCACCAATGGCCGACTCATACCCACATTCTACATCCACTGAGTCAGACTAGATTGACAGAATCTGAGAAGACAAATTATATACTTTGGTCCTGTTATGTACTTGACACTAAACTCACTAAATGCAAAGCAGAGTGATCAAAAATGAGGACTGAGTTTGTCAACAGGTCAGGTGTGTTCCGCCTTCCATGGGAAACCAACTTCCTGCACAGCTGGGAGATCCATTTCCTGTCTTTAAAGCCAGTGAGTAAGTGAGGCTGATGTGACTTCTGACACAAATTCAAAGGCAGTTCCTAGTGACGGGGCGTTGCAGGCTATTGTGGTGCAAGCTGAGACAATTGGCTTCCCTCACCCGATCGGTGAGAGTTCATGTCATTGTGTATTCTTGTGACAGTCTCCTGACTTTGCATGTGTAAGGGTTTTTTTCTGTGTCCCTGGTGGGTTTGCTTTTAGCCGCGCCAACATGCGTTTCCGCCTACTGTCTCACAGCAGGGGGTAGCTGTGCCGCGCTGCTGTGGTCCTGCTTGGTAGCAGGACGACCAGGGTCAGAGCCCGTGACCGTCTCCTCCTACGAGATCAAGTGTCCTCAGCGGTTCAATGCAATGTATTTGTCAGCTAGTTGGCGTAGCTTCATTAGCGATGCTATTCTTCAATAAAACAGTCTGATCAACAGGATAAACGGACATACAAGTGGATTGGTTATAAAAAAAAATACTGCAGGGAACAATGGTGCAAACAAACAGCCACAGCGAGCTGAAAAATGGCTGCAGGGCAACTACCTGCCTGTTGGGTCACTTTGCACTGTCGATTTCATGCTAAGAGCATCGGTGGCACAGTGACAATTATTTTGCTGGTGGACAAGAGAAGGAAAGTCTGAAATAACCTTCTCACTAAAAAAACTATTACACAACTACTCTGGAATGGGTTGCAATGTCAAAATCTATATTTTTCTGAATAGCATAACATCTGTGTGTCTCAGACTGGCTGCATCCCAAACCATGATGTCTTCCAGCTTCATGTCCAGCATGTCCGTTCCCTGGACGTACTCCTTCCAGTCCTCCACCGCTTCATCATCTTGGTCCATGTTGTCCAGGATCAACTCGAAGAAGACTAGCTTCTCGGAGACGGTGCTGAACGTGTTGTCGAAGCACAACATGTAGTCTCCGTCCTCGGTGTCGACAACGCTAGAGGGAAGCACAGGCAGTGAGAGCTTGCAGATGTATGTGTGTAAAAAAAAAAATGCATGTTACAACTGCATTTCGTTGTGCATCTCTGTGTTGCATAATGACAATAAAAAGATTCCTTAAATCCTAACATACGTGTGCACTCCATCTGACTTGTGGTAGTCACTGAACACCACTTGGGCAGAAGGAGACGTGATGAAGAAATCCACATCGAGACCTGCTCCATCTAATACCTGCGGGATGTGAGAAGTAAAGAGGACAGAGGAAAACATCAGAAAAGAGAGAGACGTGGAAGCAATAAGCCACAGGGTGGTAGACACTACAACTGAGTACAAGGTGTGTGATTTATTTCTCCCACAGCCAAGAACAAAGAGCAACTGCCTGACATCAAAAAAAATCAGCCTCATTCAGCTGTCAGCTATACACTGACCTGCTTAACAGGTTTACTCGAGGTGTGCCCCCACTGGCTCTACTGCTTAATACAATATTTGCATTTCACATTAAAGTATGCCAGTGTGGTTTGCTTTAATTGGATCTGTAAACGGGAACAGTAACCACAATAACAAATAAGTTTAATGTGTTCTCTCTCTTTGGGTGTTATCACTGATGTGGCAGACAGACACAGAGCTAGTTTGGCTTCACTCACATACCTTTTAAATTTCATATCCCAGTTTATGTGAGTATATTTATAATCACCTGATACTCAATCTCCAGAGAGGCATCTTTCTTCATGGTCTGGAAGAAGCACTCCTTGCGACCGGCTGGCAGCGTGAACGTGAAGTCTGAGTCCAGAGACTGAGAGAAGGAAGCCAGCACCACGAACCTCTCCGAGACCAGAGCGACCAACACGGACAGGACGAGCACGACCACCCGGAGTACCTCCATGGTAAAGCCTGCGTGTCTTTAAAAAAGTCCCAAAAAGAGCCACTACGCGGTGTTACGGAAGCTAACCGCGGTGTAAATAAGCGGGTTATGTTCGCCCAAAACTTCACTTCTGTGTGAAAATGTTCTTCTCACTTTTAGTACTGACGACTTTCGAAACCTCAGGACCCCGCCTGATAAAAAAGAAAATACACATTTTACTTGTTACTTCACACAATCTCAGTTCTATTCACCATTTTATTTCACGTTACTCTGATTAATATGATGTATTTATAAGTTGATATACATCAGACAACCAACGATTTCAAAAAAAGAAAAAGTGCAGGCACATATTTAGCCAGCTTCTCGAATTGCACTCTGGGATATGTAGTTATCGTATTCAACGTAAGGCTAAACCTTCACAGGGGTAAACAGAAGAAACCGTAGATAGTGTATTTAGACATAAAATTCGTTGTTTTAATAATATTGTTATTTCACAATACAATGTACAAATTTATTAAAGAAGGAAAGGAGGATTGACAATATATAAATACACATATAAAGATGTGTATTTTGGGGGTTCAAGATGTTTCTATGCTAAATAAAAAATATGTATTATTCCAGTTTATTTACGTTTTAATTTGAATGATCTCTGGAATTCAAACTAAAAGTTTCAGACCCATTACATAAAACATAAAAAAATAAATTGATAGATAATGATAGATGATATTTATGATAAATATATGATACATATAACACAATTTAGCTCCATTGCAATCGGCACTAAACAACGAATGGTTTGTTTTTGAAATACCTTTTTCGGGATGTTCTTAAATATACATTTGTGTACTTTATGAAAGTGTTGAAGGGGAAAGTACACAATGTTCACATTCCTCACCGCATTCCTCACTGCACACCTCATCGAGTAATTTAGACTTTCACATGTATTACCAATTTACAGAATCAAAGGTTGCAGCATTAGTCATTCATATTGAAACGTTTGACAGCAGAAGATTGAGCAATAGCATAAGATTGAGCAATAACATTTTAAATGCCGCGTGCTTTAGTGGTTTTAGCTTGTCAAGACATATGTGACGCGTTCTGCTTCCAGCTCATCCTTAGTCCAAAGGGGGCGTGTCTCGTCAAATACCGTGTTGCTGCGTGTCCTGTGATTGGCCGACGTACACACAGCTGCGATTTGATTGGTCAAACCTAGAGAAAGGGTTGAACATACCGAGAGCCAGCTACCTCCGCCACAGCAGTCGCTGTTCAAGCCGAGTAAGAAGCGGACGATTTGTTCCGCACAATGAAAAAGGAAAAATAGCACACCTTAAGTGTAGGTTTTTAGCCACAGAAGACAGTTGTAGTTAACACGAGTCCTCGGCCAACAGACAAAAGCTTAGAAGAGATTAGAAAAAACTCCCAGAGAGCGAGGATGTTGGTCCCCGCGGGAAGATAATGAAGAGGCTGCGCGTTTTGTTGGTGTGCCTCATTGTAGCTCTCCTGTGCTGGTAAGCTAATATCTCCATCTCCATCTTCGTAAAACCTTCAGTAATTACACGTAAGACAGATGACAGCCGTGTCAGCAGGTTGAACCACGTTTAACGACAACTACACCCCTCCGTCACGTCGCTTTCTGCCGCATTATATCCGCCTGGCATCAGTGTTCAGTGACATGAATCCTCCATGCTACACGGCTACCGTTACCAAGCTAGTTACAGTGTTTAATTGACCTGTAACGTTGTCAAAAAGAGGAGCCTTTTGCATGTTTTTTGTCTGTACTTGACACAGCTGGTTGATAAAGTTTGTTGTTTACTTGTGTTTTTTTAGTGGTGTTAGCTAGCCAGCTGTTGAATAACAGCATTAAGCTAGCTAACCCTAAAGCAGTGAGCATGGGCTGTGAATGAAAACGTTACTTATCTGATGGCTTGGGACGTGAATAACTTAAATAAAACTAAGAAATAATAAAGCGACGAGCTGCTTTCTCTTTGAGATTTAAATATGGTGTAATTCTAGCTATCCCCTTCAAATAACCATTATTTTAAAATAGGTTATTTATCAATTAATGGACTAAACCATCTTGAAAATTCAACATCAGCTAGAAACACCCAAACTGATGTCTTGAGATTGTTTAGTTAGTTTGGGCATCACATTTGAACCCACAGTTACTAAAGTTCAGTTACTAAACGGATCCATTATTACATTCAACAATGTAAATACGTTTCATTATGAAAACATGGTGTGTGTAGTCTTCTATCCAAAGCACTCGCACTTGTTTAATCTCAGAGGACAAGGCAGGTAACAATAATACGCAGAGGGTTTGTGAAATGGGATTAGCGGTCCAGCTAACATGCTACCTTTAACCAGATTGGTGACTCAGGAGCAGCTAACCTTTCATCGTGTGGCCTGCGGACTGTTTAGTCTTTCTCCAGAGCTGTCATGATATATCACCATGACATTCCCTGACAGTGTAGATGGTGTATGTTCTTTGGGAGATCAAATATCTTGTTTAAAAAAGATTATCCTCACAGCATCGTAAACAGATTTGAATGCTCATATTTTATTGAACACGACAAGGATGGGATTTTTGTAAGGATGTAATCAATAAGTAACACTGTCTCAGGTACACAGTCTGGTGTGGTACCTTCATGGTATTTGCAAAAGAGACGCAAACTGGTTTTAAAGTCTAAATAATTAGTCAGACTGAAAGGAGAAATACGAGCTCACTGAAAACAGCCCCCAGGTAAATCCTCTTCTTACTCTGTTTGTAACCTTTGTACTCTTTCTTTTTTTTTTTCTGAAGAATGACCACATTCCCATAGATTAGAATATTTGAGAAGAGCTCAGATAAGATGTAGCGTGCCTTTCTGTCTTATAGCAGGCAAACAAAGTAGAAAGAAGAACATGAGAGCATTGAAACACAGCAGCGTGAAGGTCAGTGAAACAGGAAGACCGACTGAGGGATCAACACATTTGTAGTTGGTCATTTAAATTCAAGAAGTTTCCAAGGGGAGTATTGAATTAAATTGAGACAGCCTTTCCTAATAGTTCATACGTGATTACAGCCTTGCGTGTTTACTCGCTTAAAACCTCGGTGCACTCGCTCCACTTTCTAACAAACTACCTAATGACCGAGCAACCACACGCATACTTATTACTGATGCAAACCCCTTTTAGCGTGCTGCTGTCGGCTTCTCACTCCTCTGTGCCAGCTCTCACACTTCCCGTTGGGAACAGGGAATGCAGTCCCTGCGGTGATCCGAAGGTTTCCAAGGCAGCCGTAATTTTAGGCAGAAAGGGGCTCTGTATCGGGAGGCTGAAGGCTGTGAGGGGCGGGTGAGGGGTGGAGGCATCACTCTGTCGTCGTGACTGCAGTTTTTCAATAACCTTGTGCAGATTCCATGCTTTTCTTTGCTCAGTGAAGTCTCTGTACATTACTGTCAGACGGATGGAGGTGCTCAGCTAGAGGTCTTTATGTTGTGCGTGTGTGTGTCACGCTGCCGTCGGCGGGTCTGTCGACATCAGCATCACTGGAGAAAGTGTGCATGTGTACTTGAGTGTGTTTTGTGTACACACATTTCCAGCCATGGTAATGATGGTTTACCACGTACATTTTTTTATTTTTTTTTCTCCTCCGTTTGGAGTTTAGCTTCTAGACGTCGGCTGAGTGTGGTGGTGCGTCTCCTCTCTGCAGTAACACATTGTTGGACTTTCTCTCTGATAGCTGGCATTTTCCGGCTAATTCTATAGTCTGCAAAACGACCTAAAATAAACAATTACATTTATTTCTACAGGAGCAAGCACCATCTCATTCTGTCCCCCGTGTCATAGTCATTAGTTTCACAGCCATTTGAAGATTATTGTTATTATGCAACACGATTAGCACTCATGAGATAAGTCTGCAGCCCACTGTCCAGCTGGGGACTTCACGTTTTAAAGGTGCTGACTCACCTGGTTGCTTAGTGCTTTTGCTGCTGATTGTTCTTCCATGTAATTAAAAGACTTTGATGTAGTTTAAAGTGCTGGAGGGTACTGCTGTGTGTCTTGTGCTTATCATACCCAGAGAGCTGTTTTTGTGTTTGCGCTGTATGTTTCGACACCAGTCCGGGAACAGAACACCGTAGGGTTTAGCCTGTCAGACCTATTTCCTCTCCTAGGTCATCTATAGGATGAGGCGCTCTATAGGGGCTTTCATCTACCCTCTGCTGCCGGAGCGGGATTTCCCAACTCATGGCTTCAGTTGTTGAGCAGACCCCGTCTGTGAACCTTTGTTTAGCAGCACAAATACTTTTAGATTCAAAAAGAAAACCAGAAGAAAGGCCACAATGAGTTAGCAAGCTAATGGCCTTTATCAAACACAGCATTAGCTGAATTCCTCTTCACTGCAAACACATGCACACACACACACAATGAAATGTTTTGAGTAAGCAAACGTTTAATACTTCTTGTCTCCATGCCCCTCTGTCTGAATGGTGTCCTCTGGTACTTGCTCAAAGGCAACGTGAGCACGATGCAAAGGAGCCCAGGACGTAGTCAGAGGACCTTCTCGTTGAAAGAACTATGCGTTCCTTTCAGTTGTGACCACATTGTAAACGTTCCCCTTTTTGGGGCAACTGTTGCATAAGTAGATCCGCCTCCTCATGCCCACGTGTGCAAGTACTGCTTGTGTTTCCCACCAGTAGACGTCCAGCAGCGCCTGGACTGGGAGGACAGGACAGAAGATTTGATGCTCTAAATGAGACACGGAAACACCAACGGTTACCTCACATGACTGATCAGCTGCTTCTGCTGTCCATGTCTTCCTGGTTATTCACATCAATGCTTGTCTTTGTCTCCAGACAGCATGAAACTGCTGACAAGAATGAACCATTAAAACTTGCCCAATTGTGAACAAATTCCTGAAGACCTCTCTCCATTGTTCTTATGGGTGAGATAACAACTTGTCTTGTTCACAACCTCTTCTTCTTCTACTCCGTTTACGTGTAGATAACAGCCACGCATAGCCTTTAGTGACAATTTATGTTCATAACTTCACTGTAGAAGACTTCATTCCCTCCAAACCAGCTGATGGAAATGCGCCTAATTTGCATTTTTTTTTTTTTTTTTTTTAATTTTTTTTTTTTTTTGCAGCATATAAAAATCTGCTTGTGAACTATATGGAAACACAGCTCGTGAAACAGGGGAGGCTCTGTGGGAGTTTTTGGCTGTTCCAGCCCTGAAAGCAGAGGCGGGAGGTTTGGACTTGAAGCCGGCTTCGGGACATGACGATGTCGCTCACTTAAGCCTTGTCCTTGAAGCTCATCAACTCGTTGCTTTGTAGCCTTTACGGTCCTGTAGTGCCGTGTGGCTGCTGTGATGTGCAGCGTGTGCGTCTACACATGCTTGTTTTTATTTCTCCCCTTCGCCGTGCCTTCATCAGACCACTCCTTTGTTGTGCCGGTAATATCTCACATGTCAAGGTGTAAACACCTCTGGTAAATTTCCCTAGTTGACCTATTTTGACTATTTTAACCGCACGTTTGCCTTCATGATGAGGTGGTCAAAAGAGAGTGATCAGTAAATAGTCTAAGTCCAGCTGGAGGTATTGAGATCTATTGTCTTTTATAGTCTGAAGGACATTTTTCATATGAATAGTGAATGAGTTGCAGATGTCTAAAGCTAATACTTACTCATGCATAAGCACCAACATACGACACAGTCACGCTATGCAAGTCATGAGCATGTGGATGCACAGATAAGAGATGCATCCATTCATGATATTGTGTTCAAGTCTGTAAATGATCTTATCATGGAAATGATTAAATGAACCCACACAGTGCAGAGCGAGGAGTCAATGTATGTTTGTTACTAAGTGGTTACCTGATTGGCTTCTTCTGGACTAACTTTCTGAGCAAAGATACAGCAGCATATCTCCGCTCTCACCTCAGTGGTTTCTACGCATATTCATTTAAAGCAGTGGTGAACTTTAAAACAATGGAATTGGATGTGTTTCTAAAGCGAAAACCAAAAAAGCCCCGGGGCTCATCTGTTGGAGCCAAAAACCAGCAGAATCCTCCTCAGCAAGTAAAACCAGACAACTGCTTACTTGTTGTTTTTCTCTAAGTTTAATCAAAGCTCATCACATAATGTGTCTGTCTGCATTTTCAGAATTCAATTTATAAAACCAGATCAGATTAATTACTTGATCAGCGGGTAAAAGTATAGATTAAATAAAAATGGCAAACATTTGCCGGTCTCATGCTGGTTATTTGTTCTATTTTATATCATTTGTGATATTAAATTTCTTTGCAATTATTTTTTAATTGATGGACAAAATAAGCAATATGAAGACATTGCTCTTGGTCTTTGGTAACTAAAAACAGACACTTGTCATTAGATTTAACTTGTAAACAGTATAGCTGGAAATCTATGATATATTAAACAAGCAGTAATAATAGAATCAAATGTACTTCTGGATTGTAATCCTCTGGATACGACTACTTGTATTTTTGTGACTGGGTCCGATCAGCTG